AATATTCTCATATTTGCAACATGTACAATAGAACAGGTTGATCATTTATCTTTTTAATTATTTTAATTTATTTTTTACTACCATCTGTTACCTTATTAGCAAGTTGGTCTCCAAACATCAATGCAGCCTATATATTTTGGCATTTGGAATTTTTGACAACTCTCCACAAAATTCTGAGCTCTTCACATTTTGTTTAGTAAAATAAATACATCACCATAATAGATACATGCACTTAAAGAAACCTGCAATAACTTTCCTACAGAGGAAGGAACTAGAGGATCAGCTGTCTTCCACTCAATGCTAACCAAAGGGGATGACTAAGTGGAGAAAGGGTAGCTCCAGAAAATCTGGAAAGTGACCATGCCATACTTGAATTCTCAGTTCTAAAGGAAGCAAAAGCCAAGTGTAGCCAAATGCATACCCTGGATTTTTGGAAAGCTTATTTAAATAAACTTACAACAATTATAGATAAAGTCCCATGGCAAGCTACTCTAGTGAACTAATTTGCCAACTGTGTTCCTTCCTGGAGGAGAATGCCCTGAAAGCAGTAGTGCACACACTGGTAACCTCTAGGCTCACTTTCTGCAATGCGCTCCCTGCAGGGCTACCCTGGTGCCTACTCTGGAACGGCAACTAGGACAAAGTATGGCAGCCAGGCTGGTCTGGGGACATCATGGAGAGACCACAGGTCGCCTATTCTGAAGTCTTTGCACTGGCTGCCAATACGTTTCCAGTACAAGGTGTGGAAAATTAACTTTAAAGCCCTCCATGGCTTGGGCCCAAAATGCCTGCAGGAGCGCCCTTGCCACACATCCCCCCTCACCCGCTAGGGTCCTCTGGGGATCATTCTGAAGTCTCCTTCTTTAAGATGAATGCCAGCTCCCCAGAGGACTTGCCCACTGGCTGCCCCTAAACTGTGGAACGGTCTGCCGGGAGAGATGTGTCTGATATCCCAGACTGCCACCTTCAGGAGGGAGTTAAAGATGTATCTCTTCTGACAGGTCTTCGCAGATTAGTTTATTTTAGTTATTTATTTTATTTATTAGATTTCTATCCAGCCCCATTAGCCATAAGGCTGCCTGGGTGGGTTACAAACAGTTCTCATATCAGGTTTATTTAATACATTGTTTTTAGTCAATTTTAATCACTGTTGCTTTTAATTTCTTGAGAACCACCCAGGGCCCATGGAAATGCAGTATTGTAGAAAAATTAAAATAAATCAATAAATAGAGGAGGAGTCAAAGATGGGTGGGCATTTGTAAAAAAGAAATTCTGCAGGCACAATTACAAACATTTCCAACAAGAAAAAAGGTAGAAGATAATAGAAGAGGCCAATGTGGTTTCAAAAAAAGCTTAGAGATGATCTGAAAAGAAAAAAGGACACATACAAGAAGCATAGGGACAGACTACAAAGGAAGAGTACAAGCAGGTAGAAAGGAATTGGAGGGATGGCATCAGGAACACTGAAGCTGAGAGTGAGCTGAAGTTAGTGAGGGATGCTAAAAGCAACAAAATAGCCTTCTTCAGATATACGCAAATAAAGGCTGGAGGAAAGAAATGGTGATTCGACTATTCCCTGAGGATGGGAAAATGATAACACAAGACAAACAAAGGTCAGAAGTGCTCAATTCCTACTTTCAAAGTGGAGTGCTAGACTGAAGACCACAGAATGGAATTAAATGGGGGCAAAAGGCAACTTCTGCACCTAGGAAAAAAGAAACCAAATGCATCAGGGACACTTTGCTCAACAATGCTCCAAGCGAGAAGGATCTTGGAATCGTTGCAGATCACAAAGTGAGTGAGTCAACAAGGTGATGTGGCTGCACGAAGGCAAAGGGTCTTTTGGACTGTACTGACAGAAGCGTCACTTTGAAATCACGTGACATCCTAGTTCCTCTCTCCCCAGGACTGCTTCAGCTTCATCTTGACTACTGCTTCCAGTTGTGGGCACCACAATTTAGCAAAGATGCAGACAGACTGGAAAGGGTTCAGGAGAAGGAAACAAAGATGTTCAGGGAACTGGAAACAAAACCCCATGAGGAGAGGCTGGAAGAACTGAGCCTTGAGAAGAGTGTGAGGAAATATGATGGCACTCTTCGAGTACTTGGAAAATTGCCACACTTAGAGGGCCATGGTCTTTCCTCAACTATCCTGGAGTGCAGGACATGGAATAACAGGGTCAAATTACAGGGAGCCAAATATTGGCTGTGTTCGTGCAATATGACAATGGACCCAGGGAGCTTGTGGCTCTCCCACAGTAGATGGCCATCTGTTAGGGACAGTTTAACTGACTGAGCAGGGGGCTTACTGCCCCCCCCCCCCACAACACCATTGCTCTAGGGTAGTGATTGCAGAAATTCCCTTGCTCTGGTATCTGGGGATTGGAACTCGTGTACCCATTCTCATAGCTTTTAGTCCTTCCATGTTTAACAACATTATTGCTGATCTCCTCCTCCCTGATCTTACATAAATATGACATCAAATCCAGTTTCTCTAACACCTCAAATAGAAAAGGTCAAAATAAAGCCTGCAGATTAAGAAAATGTACACAAAAGTTCATCCACATGTTATTAAACGTATACATCTCCTTTTCAACAAGGAGCTCAAGGAAGCAGTTTGTTCTTCTAATGCCCTGGTCAGCTAAGAGAGGCTAACATTTGCTGGTCAAGCAGATAGTTTTATTAGCCTCCAAACCCAACACTTCCTTCACCAGTTTACATTGGTTCATATTCTATATCCATTTACATTCTTTCATTTCTTTTACACACAGTATTTGAATTTGCTTACATACATTCAATACTTTCATTTCTGTCATTAAACATTATGGTGAAATATAAATGTGACAATAAGACAACATTCCCAAGAATTCTGGCTCATTATGAATAAAACAGTGTGCTGGTACAGCTACTCAGCGACTCCCACTCAGCTCCTTGTGCAAGCAGGGGAAGCTAAACAAACTGCAGACCTTTATCTGTAACTTGTTTACTATGGTGTAAGAACCAGGGACTAGGGATGTGTGAGGAATCAGCTTTGGGCAGGAAACCTGCTGAATTCACTTGTTTCCGTTTCCCAGACACCAGTTCACTTTGCAGAGGTCCAGAGTCTGAATTCCTGGCAAGAATTCCAATTTCAATTCAATTTTGCTAGACATTGAACTCGACATGCAGTGCCAGCAGGGGCATGATGGGCCCCTGGGAATGGTGGCCTGCACACCTGCTTGTGGCGCTTCCCCCTGTGCACCATCGGCAGGGGCCGGAAGTGGGGAGGGAGGTTAGCTGCTGGGAATGGTGGCCAGGGAAGGTTTCCGGCTGCACAACCAGGGGTCCACAATGCTTGTGCACTTCTTCCAGCTTGGCTTTCTTCCTTAGAGAGGGATGAGCACCAGAAGACATTGAACAGGCAGGTGCAATCTGGGTGCTGGAGAAGCTTGGCACATCCCTACAAAGGACTCCAACTTAACTCTCCCCAGACAAGCCCAGTCATACATATGTATATGACTAGTTTATTATATCACTGCAGCACACCAAGGCTTATTTAAGGCATGACAAGCTAGATTGCCCATAGGCACCAATTTGCCTGTTCAAGCCCTGTGCTATAAAGGCAGGAGGGGCTATCTGAACTAAACAACCCTCAAATAACCCAGGATCTGTTGTTGCGTTGAGAGTTGTTTGACCCTCAAACAACCCCTGCTTCCAGGGTCTGAATGACATAACACGGGAATATCTCACTGGGAGTTGAACTTCAAACTGCCTGCCTGCCCTGCAATCCACCATGGCTTAAGCCATGGTGGGCAGAATGATCATGCAGACCAGTGCCCTAGCTTGTCTGTGGAGATACAAGCATGTCACAATAAACGGACTATAGATGGAAGGAAATGATCAGACAGGATACACTGGCATGTTGACTCATTCACAATAAGCCACAATTATTCAGAGTTACTGCGCTGTGCGAATGCATCTGATATTGACAAATTACCATAATTCACCATGTAACAGTGTTCGATGTGCTTACAATTAGAAAAGCTGTGTGCAATTCATTTTTTTCTAGGTGTCAAGTTTTCATGGTTCAGAATTTTAAGGATTTTTGCAATAGAGGGAAAATGACAAACTCTGGCAACATTAAAGTTGATGATAACCTGCTCTCCATTTCCTAATGTACCATGTCGAGGGAAAAACTAAGCTCCTAATTTTATTGGAATTGAGTCCCAAATCCTCACTGATGAAGAAATTGTTAATATTTGTTATCTGAGATAGACAAATCCCAAATAAATAGAGCATACTATTTCTGAAGCCCTTTCATTTTGACAGAGTCAAAGTAATGTTATAGCTGTCAAAATATGAGAGTTAGAATAGAAAAGCACAGAAAGGGATAATGAAGGGTTGTACAATTTAAAGTCCCAGCTTCATTTTGTGTTTTTCAACTGAAGAAGCTCGGCAAATAAATGGTAGCAATCTTTTCTAGAGGTATGAGAGTTTTAGGGTGCAGTTGTATAAATGGCTTCCTCAATTATAGCAAGCCTTGGGACCCAGAAGCTTATGGCCATCCTATGAAGGGGAGGAAGGTTAGCAGAGCTGATCTTCACTCTACTGTCCCCTCAGCCTGAATTCTTCAGTAAACTGGGTTTTGCTCATCTAGCTGGAACATTTCAGAGGGGTAGAGAAGGAGGTTACAAAGGTGCCATGAGAGCTTGTATCCAGGCATCTCCCGTCTCCTCCATCCCCACCCACTGAAAAGCCTCTTTTGCTGCTCTCAATGATTTCTATCCTGAAGTCAAGAGGCAGCCACCATGCTTCTTTCCACTGCGGCCACATCCACTCCCAGATGCCCAATTCCTGAAGTCAGGAAGCTGCCTCCAACATTGGATGGAGGAACACAAACCGTCCTGTAGCCTCTTAGACACCATCTAATGGCTATAAAGCTGTTCCCTCCATAAAATCTGAATGGTCAGATATCGAAATTTCTTTCCAACCTCTACAAAAATATAGGAATTGCCCCCTTACCTTGCATACTCCTGTGGGTAAGGAGAGGAATACCACGTCTGGATCTCGTATTTCCCAAATTCTATCACAGAAGGGTACCGTCCATTTGTTTCTCCACCATATTTATAACCGATCTTCTATTAATTACAGGTTTAGAAAAGGTTTATGAATGTGCAATAGAAATCCCTTTCCCATGACCACATCTTATAATTAGACTACTTTTCCTAGATGTTCAAGACTATGTTTGATGTTAAGTTGCAAGACAATTGACAAATAATAGAAGCTATACCCTAGTTTCAGGCCTTTGCATTTTCACCAATGTTCACAAATGACAATTACGGTGGACAAACTTTCAGCCCAAGAAAAATATCTAACTACAGAGTCATGTTATCCAACAATATTGCTAGGCACTTCTGCAAGGGCTTGCTTCTAGTTTTCTACCTCAGCTTAACTGCTGGAACTGAGAGAATTAAGGGAGTAGACAGGAAATGACATATTGAACAGAAAAGATCAAGTGTAGTCTAAGACCAAGAGCTAGTTAAGACGAAACAAAAGCATACAGGAGGAGAGATGGGGATTGAGAATTTGGGTATAAAAGAAAACAACAACAAAACACAAACACACACACACACACACGAGAAATAGCTGTTAGATGACATCTGGAGTCTTTCATTATTGAGGGATAGTCATAGTTGAACTAAACTCTCCATCCAAATGTTGGAAATATTGCTTTGTGTGCACTGAACTAATTCACTTTGTTTTTCAGATGACTGGATTTAGATGGTTTTTTGTAATTTGTTCTTTGAAAGATTTAAGTAGCAGTACTGTCACTATTACTTTGTTGGGTTTTGAATATTAGAAGATTTTAAATTAAAATACACTATGTTCACTGAAAGCATTGTTACAGAACTGTTACGGTAGTGTTATTTTGACAGAAAGGCATTTTTATTCACATGCTTTAGCTACATTTTTTTAAATGAATCTTATTTTTGCGTGGGGGCATGATGTGCATGCTGAGCTGCTTTGAATGTTAAATCTTGTGTGGAAGAGAGGCTTATCAACTAAAATCTAAATCCAAATGAAACAAAATGAAACCCCAACCCTAAATAAAACGCACACTTATTTTACAGTTCTTGTTTAAGACAGTAAGCTTTTAAATAACCAGATAATGCACATTTGCATTTGGCTGTCCTATGAACTTTACCTATCTAAGGTTTTCTCTAACTACTTTTATAGGAAAAGGCCTGGTGGTTCATGAGAGCGACGGCTTGGTGACTGATGTGTGTGTTAAAGTTGTTGATCCCACATGTCACCAGGCCTACTCTGCATCAGCAAGATGGCTGAGTGACACTGGAAAACACTTTGCCTGCCCCTGGTGGTGTGAATGCACACCTCTGTACATCAGATAACACGAGAAGTATCCTAGCAGAAAGTGTGATTCACTTCTGCTCTGCCTGGTGACTTCCATGCTGTACAAAATCCATCACGTACAGGACGTTTACTACCAATCATCACCGAGACATATGGGATCCATATACATTAGAGGAATACTGTTGTCCACAATTCATCCTTTGTTAATGGATTGTTACATTATTAAAACAGTAATGCTAATCATGAAACTACACTTAAATGTCATGAACCTTACCTCCATTGCAAGTTCTTGGGCCTGCTTAAACATTTCCAAATCTTCTTCAGTTACAATATCCTTGCTTCCCACCAGGAATAGATCTGAGTTTTCTTGTTTGATGCTTATTTTGATTTCTGTACCTGTTGTTTAAAACCAGCAGAGAATTTATTCACCAACATGATGGCGACAAGTGCCTTAGGCCCACAGACTCATGCTCTCAGTTTACTTCCTGGACAGCTACCCCCATCAAACTGTATAGGTGAGTCAGCAATCCTTTAACAATACTATAGTAACTTTACAGTTAAACACCTGCAGTTTTATTTTAAACAGATGCTGCCAGGGTTACCTGTCATATTTGCTTCCAGTGCCAGTAGACGTCTGCTGAACTTCTACATGATAATTTTTTAAAGTGAATACAAACAATTGAGACAGCAACATAGATTTCATGTATACTAGCATATGTCAAATGTAACCTCTATTAAAAAAAATAAGCACTAAGCTAATCTCAGACAAAACCATTTAAAGAAGATTAGAACAAACTAATGCTGGGAACACAGACTTTTTTCTTACAGAAAAGAATTATTAAAAATGGGAAGAATAAATTGCACAGCAGTACAGATCCAGTGTTGTGTAGCAAGATGGAATCTGTCATGGCAAAGCAGTGGATGAGAGGGAAACAAAGAGCTGAAATGGTCATCCTAGTAAATCTGACAGCACTACGGCCAGAGAAGGGCAAAGGAGAGCATGGCGCAGCTACCAATAAGCTACTACGAAAGGCATAAGCAACATTGTGAAGACACAGCAGGGAGGGCACGAGTGCCACTACAAATGCACAAGACTGACAAGCAACAAGATGGTACAGTGTTAGTTAGAAAAACACTTTGGAGATTTTAGTCAGCATTAGTTACAAGGTCAAAGCTCACTGCTTGTGTATGAAAGTCAGAACAAGAGAAATAGTGGAGACCTATGTGACAAAATAAGAATTTGGATTTGGACGGGACGCAGGTTTTGTTGGCGCTTTGACCTGTTGCTTACCATCATCCTGATCAGGTTTAATCCTTCCGTCTGCCAAGCTCCCCTTCCCTGGTGAGGGGGTCCCCATCTGAGGGGTCACTTTATACTTTAATCTGCCTAGAATCATGCGCTTTTTAAGGAAAGTTGTTTGCTTGAAGTGAGCAATTGCTTTAAAAGCACGTCCTCTAGACATACCCCATCCAGAGGTGGAGGAATGAGAAATAAACCTACTTCTAATCTCTTTCTTTCCACAGAAAGCAGGATTAGACTTGGATGTGGAAGAGAAGGCTGCTTTACGACGCAAACGCTTGGGTGGTGCATAACTTGGATGGCCCTTTTGTCGAGACTGTCCCTGAGTGGTATAAATATGAGAAAGTCCATCAAAGAGTCCCTTTAGCTGACTGCTATTAGGAAGGCTGCTAAAGGAGGGTGCACTTGACTGACTGGAGGAGCTTTGGGGAGAATTAGAAGAGATGGAAGTGCTGGATTTTTGTGAACTGGGGCTCTGACCAGAGATGGGGGTTGGGGGTGGAAGTGAAGAAGGTTTTAGCTTTTGTGTGGTACCTGTAGCCAACACATGAGAAGTACATGACTGTTTCTGAGAGGCCATTTTCCTTGGACGATAATGCTTTGAAAAGTCTATTATTTCACCTCGTGATCTGCGACCATCGGGTGACGGTGTGAAAAACTTAGTAAGGCCATCAATGAGCCCTTTGGTTTTCTTGTTAACGTTAAGTGTAGAGGCAGGTATGTAGGTGGAGGTGGTGGTGGTGGTGATTTTGGTGGCGGTGGCACCAGGCCGGGTGGGGTCTGTAACAGCCAATCTGCTGCTGGAATCCTTCACAGATGCAGCATGACCAGATGAAGGTGTGGTACAGACTTTAGTCTTTTGACCCCTACCAGGTGACCCCCTTCCTGTGAATGCATTCATGGATCCTTCATCACTGGGCACAGACCTAATGAAGAAAGGTGGAAAGAGAAAAACGGAAGTCAGCATTCACGCACAGCTTTAACAGGAATAGCACCAACACTGCATGCAAGTTACGCAGACTACTTAGCTGAAGAGTTAAGGCACTGGTGACTATCCAGACAGCTAGCCAAGCTCCTGCTGAAATAGAACCGCATAAAGGTAAGCAGCCATTTATTTCAAAATCAAGCCCCTTCATGGAATTATACACTATGCTCAATCTATTACTGAAAGAGGCATGTTTCTGAGAAATTAAGACTGACTAAATAATAATCAGACTCTTGAGGCATGCATAGAAAGTCATTTTTTTCCCCTTGACGGAGGGTAAAAGCCCTGGCCAGTCCTGTTAAGATGGGATCTTAACTGAAGAATCAGATTCCTGAGGCTATTTCCCTCATTTGTTAACCAGTACAGTGGTACCTCGGCTCATGAACGCCTTGGTTCATGAACAAATGGGGTCACAAACAAAAATTTCTGAAAAATTTTGACTTGGGTCATGAACACCACTTTGGGTGGCGACCGAGATCGCAGCATCTCCCCCCCCCGCCCCCCCGCATGGGGAGATGACCACGATCGCAGTTCTGTTCGTGCAGGGAAGGTGTGCGTGATCAGAGGTGCGCTGCTGCAGGAAAGACGGAAGCAGCAAAGCAGAGCCGCGGGGGAGATGGCCGTGATCGTGCTGGGGGGGGGGGGGGGGGGGAAGGAGATGGCCAAGATCATGCCCATCTCTTCCTCCCCCAGCGTGCCGTTTCTGCCCATCTCTTCTTCCCCCAGTGTGCCCGTGATCACGCCCGTCTCCCCCCCCCCACCCCCCAGTGTGCCAGGATGATGGGCGCCTGCAGGGATGACGGGTGTGTGCAGGGATGGTGGGCACAATCTTGGTTGTGCTGGGGGGGGGGCAGGGAGATGGCCACGCTTGTGCTTGAGGTGTGGGTGGAGATGGTTGCGATCTTTGTTGTTGTCACTTTGCTTCACATTTTTCTGATTTAAAAAATGTTACAGAACGGATTAACCTTATTTACACTGAACCTTATGGGAAAATTTAACTTGGCTCACAACCAATTTGGGTCATGACCAGAGTCCTGGAACGGATTAAGTTCGTGAGCCAAGGTACCACTGTATTAGCAATGTATTGGCCCAGTACAGCACACAATTCATGTATCTTAAGCTCATTAGTATCAATAGTTTCCTTGACTGTTTGTTGGATTGACTCTCAACACTAAAGATTCTGCTTCTTGAATGTTGATACAACTATAACACGTACCCAGGCAACCTATGTTTCATGATACAAAGCTTCAAGATACTTGACAGTTTCAAGGCAACAGCTATAAAAATGTCATTCCAAAAACAAACAGGAAGATAACACTCAAGCCCTGGCATAACAGACTTGTGTTTGGTTGTTTTTGTTTGTTCGGGTTTTTTTTTTCTTTTAACAAAAGGCCTAATTTCATTATAGCCATAAAATACCACCTATAGCAATGGAGTTTTTTAAAAAAATGATGAAGTTCAGTACAACATTGAAGGCAAAATACATAAACATTAATTCATTTTTAACTTCAAAAATATGCAAGTCCACCAAAAAAAGTCACTAACAAAGACAAACAAACAAATGAAAAACAAAGGAAACCAAGACCTCAGAAGGCGTGTCTGGAAGATACTGAGAAGCAGTACTGAGTTTTACTGAGAAAATGAAATGCAGCTTGCGGAAGAATTTAAGCTAATTTCTAAGATGAAAAGGAGAACCACTCACACAGAGACTTAATGTATCCAGGAAGGGTTATCAAACTGAAAATCAACACAAAGTTAAATAATTACTTTAAATAACTATATTCCTTTTCCATTATATAATGCAAGTACTATATATTTTTAGGAAGATGGGTTCCTGCCATGCATTTGTTTCTCAATGGTGAAACTGAAGGAATTAATACCAAAATATTAGAGGTGGAATAATCTGGGGGGCAATCATCTGGTTTGCAGAAAAGTGGTCTGACGTTTGGCCCACATCCCATTTCTCAATCCTGCACTAAAGTGAGTATGCTTAGCTATGGAAATCTTCTGACTTTTTCGAGTATCGCCACACCAGAAGCGCAGCTCTGTTGCTACAAAATCTATTGCAAAGACCAATAACCTGCGTACAGAGGCTAACAAGCTGGGTGCTATGTATTTGCACAACTGCTACTCCAGGCTGCAAGCTAAGGTCCATTAAGCAGTGCTATTGCACCGCTGACCCTTTTATGAAGTAGTTCGAAGTAGTTTAGCAATATATTATATTCTTGCCATCCCATCACATCACAAAATTAGACCCACTCTTTATACCTACTCACACCTCTCACAGTTGAATTTATTCTGGAATACACAAAAGAACTTCTCCCCATCACCACCATGTCTTACACCTCCATAAACATAAAACGGAAATGGTTACAGAAACACATCTACTTCTGAACAAGAATGGGCCTACCAAGCTGGTCCTGGAATTCTGCATCATTTTCTAATGCAAGAGTAGCTCCTGACCCTTCAACAGTGCAACGAAGGCCCATTCATTTTCCTCATCATTTGATGACCCAATGCTGAACGTGCAAGCACACAGCACATGAAAATTAACCTGATGATTTTGCATTTGCCTCTGCACAAGGATGAAGATCTCCTGTCCCTAAGCAAGCAACCAGCAAATATTTCTCTGTAATAGGGGCACACACAGTTGCCACAACTTTTAATACTAGAAGATGACAGTGAGGCAGAAGCAAGAGCCAGTGGGGAGTCCTGATGAGCTAGCACAAGCTTAGCATTTATTTTAATTAATATGAAAGGCTCTGCTGTCTTAATTCCATCAACCAGAAGTGTTTTAATGCACTTTTCAAAGGTTTGGTTTTAAATCCGGCTTCCTGTGCATTTAATTTTAGGAAATCAAAGCCAAATGGCAAAACATTTAGTGACAGGAAGACATGCAGAAACAAACAGCCCAGTACTGAAAAGACCAAATGAACTCCCATGTTTTCCCATGAATATTATGGTAACTTCAAGACTATGGCAGTGGGAAATATAAACTTAGACACAGGAGAACTTACAACATTCGTTGCTTTAATTTATTTTTTGGTCGTCCAATAGGTTTTGTGTATCGCCGCCTTATCTGGGATGCTCTTTCATGAAGCAACTTTCTTCCTTTTTTCTTTGGTCTGCAGACCTGGCAGATCCACATCCCTGCATTGATGTTCAAATAAATATGGTTAATTATGCTACGTGTCCATGAATAGCGGTTTCACACCACTGGGTAAACCTAATATAGCATCATATCCAGTGATGTGCAAGATGCTGAAAGGTTCCATCTTGTTCTCTATCCTATCACCAACCATATGACACCACTGGGTGAAGTCATCTGAGGGATAGGTTACTAGACAAATCTACTTTTCCTCCTAAAACTAATCCTGAAATAGAAGCTGGGCCTATGGCCCCATTCAGGTTTAGTGATGGGCTGCACAAGGGCAAACTGAAACTTAACTGGAGCAAAAGAGAGGTTTTATGGTCAGTGCCCAAGAAGATCTAATAACAGGTGTAATGCCTGTTCCATGAAGGGATGCATTGAGCTTCAGTCCATAATTTAAGGCGCTTGCCAGTGGAGATACCCACATGGAAATTGTGAATGGGAGTGTCATTGCACCAGTCACGTAGCTTGCTACAGGAGTTGCACGATTCCATAAGCATGAGGACACCGGTCACACACGTGATGACCCTCTAAAATGAAAGCCTGGAAGCTGAATGTTATGTGCCCTCTGCACAAAGGGAGCCGCCTGTAGTCTGCATATGTCTCAGGTACCAGGATGAGAGCCTTCTCCATCATTTCCTTTATGTCCACCAGAGAGACTGACCTACTCATTTTTATAGACAGGTAGAGAGAGGTTATGTGGCTGCACAGATGACCATTCAGTTATAAGCAGTCTTGCCTTCTCCTTTCTGTATCTTTAAGAAAACCAAGTGCGGATGAGAGAATGACAAGGAAAATTTATAACATATTGTTAGAAGGGGAGGGCCAATATGATTCTTTGAAGGAGTCTTGGGAAATAAATTTAAGAAGAAAAATTAGTAACGAAGAATAGAATAATATGAGGAATAAGAAATTTTTAAAATGTATGTTGATGAGAATAAAAGTACTAGGCAGTGACACCAAAATGGTGCAGGCAATTTAATGAATGGGTGCAAACTGGGAAAGGTCATGAAGAAATGCTTCATCCAGGAATCAGAAAAAATCCAACAGACAGCTCAAAGGAAGGATGAAATGCCAAGAGTCCTAAATATTCTTGCAGAAAGAAAGTAACTGAAGCCCTGAAAATGAAGGTGCAGGAAGTAATTCAAAATGTTGTGCAAAGCAGTGAAAAGATGATTGACAGGAAAGAATCTGACTTGATGGCACAGAACAACATATTTGCTGTTCTGTCAAAGGCGGGACAAATGCCAAGAGGGCCAGCTCCACTGCAAGAGAAAGCAAGGATTAGCATTAGTTCAATCAGCATTGCCACGAGAGTCAAACCGAGGAGTTCTTCGAGTCTGGATGCCCCTCTTCTCTGAAGGATAATTGGAGAAATCTCCTTGAGACATATGCATGGTACAAAAAGATTTCCCTAAGGTGAACATGCACCAGCTTTCAGGATTTAATTATATGTTTCTCCTGCAGAACTGTGACATCCAAGGACTTGGGTGAGGCTCATGACAGCTTTGCCTCCTCCCTCCACCAATGCAGTGCCTCTTGTACCTGCTACCAGGAGCTGCAAGGCAAAGCAGCAACAGCAGCAGCCTGATTAAGAGATCCACCCTCTGAGTGACTCAGATCTAGCTAATTTGGCAGACTGATCTGCCAGGCATTTCTAGACTGTGGTTATTTCCTGTGAGATCTGCTGTGGCCCAGAGAATCATCAGCTGACATGTCTGAGGACGAGAAGGAAGCTGGCAAACACCTTTGTCCCTCCTTAGTAGCTTGAGTCAGGAACCTAGAATCACAGGAAATTATTGATGAATCTCCACCAAACTGAGGAGGCTAACATCCCCATTGCCTGATTTGTTGTACTGTAAATGTATTTTAAGCTGCCTCAAGAGCCTTGGTTAGTTGCGGGGCATAAACATTCCAACCAACCAATCACTCCATGTGGGTGCAGGACATGCTTTCCTGCAGACAGACCACAAAAGAGATGTTTTGGCAACTATGTCTCAGGCCCTGGCAGCACCCACACTGGATGTGTGTCAAGATGAGTTTGGCTCTGAGCAGAACTGAGGACCTACAACTGCCCCAGAATGCAACGCTAAGAGTGCTAACCAGAGCATGCTTTTCATACTGTAAGGGCAAGGTTGCATGACACAGCAAGTAGTAGTGGTTTTTCTCAACTTTTTTGTTCTGTTTTGTCATCTGAACCCTGCCATGGCATTTCCCTTGGTACTTCCCTGTGGCGTGTTTCGTTTTGAGAAACCACAAACAGAAACAATAGCCTGTTCTATGGTTTCTTGATACCACGACTGCTTGCACAGTCATCCTAACCAGTAAACACAACTCAGCACGGTACCGAGGGCAGAACCATAGAGCCATTTGGCGAGGGCAGCCCGTGGCCACTCTTGCCAAGCAGCTAACCAGAGGCCGCCACAGACAGCTGCCACTTGGCACAGCTGCCGCAGGTGTCCCCCTCATCCTGCCCTAAAGATATTTGGTGCAGGAGAGGGAAATCAGCTGGCCAGCTGGGGAAAGAGCAGCACCACGCTGATTCCCTGATCGTGCTTTCACACAAACGGGAGCAGGGAGAATCCACTAGGCACCTCAACCCAGCTGCTGCCCTTCTGATGTGAGCACCAGTGCATGAAGCAGCTGGACAACCATGGCGGAGTCCTGTTGGGAGCGGCATGCGGCAGCAGATTCACCCATGCCACCCCATTCCACACACCAACGCTAAGCACCGCGTGCTGCTCCTCACAGCTTGGGAATACCTGCTTGGCAAGCCGGAGTGAGAAAGCCTCCCCCTCAGCACCACCACCAGGTGCTTCCTGCCTCTGCTCCTGGCACACTTATGCTCACAAGGTGCTGGCCTCTAGCACCTGCCTGGTTGCTTACAATGGTGGAACCGTTTTTGTGGGTCACCTTCACTAAAAGGGCACTGTGTTTATTAATACCACCATCACGCCATTTACAGTTCTGCTTTTCACTTTTAACCCACTAAGAGAGTGATCCTATGGCCTCTAGACGAGGGGGACATGGGAGACATAGGCTACGTCAGAGTCTCCTCTCTGAAACCGGAAGCAGAGTTCCAAGCTTGGTGTTGGCACTCTGATGCTCACGCCCCACCCAGCATAGAAAGACGTGCACGCCTCAGAGAGGGCGTAAAGGAGGTGTGCTGATGGGCAGAGAAGGGAGGAGAGGGGACTACAGGGCCAAGGCGCAATGTGTCCTGTGCCCTTTGTGGTCTTCTGCCGTTCCCTCCAATGCATGCCAGCTAGGTGGCCAAAAGTGGATGTCAAAAATGCAAAGCATAAGACGCAGGCAACTGAGAGCATGTCTGCTGCTCCTCCATCTTTGCAGAGCGTGCTCACAAGTCTCTGAGTTTGGGGGCTTATAGGATTGCACTCTAAATGATCTAGAACCGGTATATCTTAAGGACCACTTTTCTCAAAAAACCTCCCCACTCAAGATTATTTTTGACAGCATGGCGCTTTATATCCCCCACATCCACTATGAGGTTCTCTTCAGTTACATGACGCTGGGCCTTTCAACAATGCCAACATTCACGGGCAGGGGTCCTCAAACCTTTTGAACAGGGGGCCAGTTGGGATGGGCACGGGCCATCAAGGCAGGGGGCGTGTGTGGGCTGAGATCCTTTCCTCCCAACGAGTCTAAAACGATCTCCTTGTGAGCAAGCCGGCACCTCGCTGCGCACACGGAGAGCTATGGTGGGCTGGATCCAGCCCGCGGGCCGTAGTTTGAGGACCCATGTTCATGGGGTCAGGTAACTGTTTTAAGTTTCTGCCATTTCCCTATGGCTTTAGTGTACTATTTATTGCTTTTGCTTTTAGAGTACAGCTGTTTCATTCTACTATTAAACACTGTTAAGCCATTAAGTGGATTCTAATTATGGAAATCAGGATATGGATATTTTGCAGAAATTAATAAATCAAATACATATTACTGGTGCCTCGGGAAGAGGCTGCAAGGAAAGGTTCTTGCAAATGATCCCACTGAAGCTCATGCCAGTTAGTACACTGTGTGTATGAACAGGGCCACTTAAAGCCAAGCATTAAAAGTCCCACATGAGATAAAAGGAAGTTATCCGTCTAGATCTCTAAAGCTAGAAACTGGAATCTAATACTCCTGAATGACAAAGATAAGACACACATAGTGTAATGGATATTTCAGGTCTCCTTTTCACTACATGATTCATCCCCTCTTATGCAGACGGCAGTGAACATATTTTTTTCATTTACAAGGAACACATGATAAAGGATCATCCCCATTCCCCAATACTCTTTATGTTTTTCTCTATGACTTTCAGGGACACTGGTATTTCTGGATCTAGAAGACCAAAGGCAAAAGTCAGCAAAAATGTCAGCCAGCCAAAAAGCAAGATTCTAAAGGAACTGTTTTACTAGGATGCTGTAATGCACCCGAACAAGTCAAGCAGACCTTTTCATCTTAGGAACTACTTTCGCTTTTAACTTTTAATTAATTATCTAGCTAAAATATTCAACTATATCAATATAGATAACTTGTTAACATGAGATTTACTTAGCAAAAATAAGCTATTTGTGGTTTAGTTAAACATGCTGCCTGAATCAAAATATTGTTAAGTAACATTAGCAGCATTGCAAAGGATTATGTGGGGGTGGGTTGAACAATAAACTGACTAAAACCCACATTTTAAATCAGCAGACAATAGCTTAATGGATCACTGATTGTCACCCATTAAGATTTATTACAGTTCCGACTTCAGAGTACACCACAAGCTGTTGTTAATGAAAAGCAGAAGCTGCCAAACTCCCACTCCAGCAGGGAGGGGAGGGGAGGTAGAGCATACAAGCCCAAGGAGAGGCTATGCTCATTCACAGCGCCCTAAACTAACGTGGGCTATGCCAGCTGGGGATGATGGGAGTCATGGTCCAACTGATATAAAGGACCCTAGGATGGGGAAGGCTGCACGAAGCTATAGTTGATGTCCTAACACAGCTAAGGTCAACAACGGCTTATGCAGTATTCCTGCTCGTGAAATGTCTTACAGAAGCAGTAATAATTTAAAATAATACTTGGCTCAAGATTTAGATGGAACCAACAGGGCTGGGGAAATCAGAGTCCCCCACCTCCTCCTCACAGCAGTCCCTCTAGCCCTCCAAAAAGTTACACATAGGGTTAGCCTCCCCCCACCCCCAATTCTAAGTAAGGGAAAGAGGGAGGATCCCTGAAAATCATTATAAGGCAAATTCCATGAGAAAAACACTTCTTCCAATGGAAAGCAGAACCTGGATCCAACTATCTATATCAGGGGTCCTCAAACTTTTTGACTAGGGGGCCAGTTGAAAGCTGCCGGTGCCGGGCGCGGGCTGGAAAGGTGGTGCCTGGTCATGTGTGTGGGCCGGTGAGGAGGTGGGGGCGGGGTGTGTGGGTGCACTGAGGCGGGGGGGTGTGCGGCAAGGCATGGGCAGGTGTGCGCAGTGAGGGGAGGCGAGGCATGTGCGGCGAGGTGAGGCGGGGCGGGCACACTCCATGAGGAGCATGCACAAGGCAGCGGCTTGCTCGCTTGGAGATGGTTTTTTCTGAGCGAGCAAACCGCTGCCTCCTGCGCACGGGGCGAGGTGGGCGGCAGCGGGTGCACGCATGGACGCGCACACAGCGGGTCCAAATGGCCATGGTGGGCTGGATAAATGGGCATGGCGGGCTGCATCCAGCCCCCGGGCCGTAGTTTGAGGACCCATGATCTATATCTATGGGGGGAGGGCTTTAGAATTCTCCACCAAGAACCCACAACATATTCTAATACAAACAGCTTCTATATGCATAATTTGTTGAATTAATGCATGATACTTCACTGAAAAGCAAGATATATACAGACTGTGTAAGAACAAATCACATGTACATGCACGATCAAAGATGTTCAAAGATCACCTTTTGGCATTCGGGAAAGTGGTGGGTCACAGCACTCCATATGGAATCCTCTGTCACAAGAATCACAGAAAAGCATATTATCCTGAAATTGAAGTGGGAGAAAGACACAAAGTAATCTGATATCTCTAGTTTGTATTTTCATGATTAAAGAGTTCTAATGCGAATTCTGCTATCTGAGGTGGCTCTGCTATCACCATGAATCCAGAAAGTGCTTTTGTTTTACATGGTTTTTTTGTACTGTTTTAACCAAATAATTGCATTTATTAAAACTCTCACTGTGTAGAGCTCTGACATAGCAGTGTGAAGTGTAGTTTAAAATATGGTAGATATATTTAATATTTAACCAATATACTTATTAAAATAATAAGATAACATCTAAATGATTCTTCAAGCAAAAAGAAAAATCAACCCAAATAATCCTGTGCTGTTATTTTTACCCATTTTTCAATTTGACTCAACTGGCCCGATATAATACACTGAACATTACACTAAACATTGTGCTGTAATAAAAGAATAAAACTTACTGCATTTTTGCCTTGGATTCTACAGGCACTGCATGTCTTGCATTCAATACACTGCCATCTTAAGGCCTTCACATTTGTTGTCAACTCGAGACAAAATTTCAAGCAGGATGGATGCCCTACAAAAAAGGCAACATTCATACTTGAAGTTTACTTGAGTATTCTAGCGCAGCTGAAGCTTTAGGACATCTTCTCAAAGCAAACTGCCCCAGTGCAGGCTATTATGAGATCAATTCTTCTGCGCAGCAGTTCCTTAAAGTATTTTTATTGTTATAAAATGTGCATTTAATTGTTCATACTTCAAATACAGCAAAGCACCCAGTCATATTTGACATATTTACTTGAATATGCCTTGGGCTTGATCCAAAATCTGCCTTTGGATTTACTAAAAGTAAAACCACCAGCAGCAGCAGCAACCGCAGCAGCAGCAACCATGATGTTTTCCAGGTAAACAAACACAGTAATACCAATTCAGCCTAGTTATCCGAGTGGAAAGCCAGCAGGGGTGTGAGGGATATCACTGTGTGCCACATGTATGACCATCTGCCAACTAGGCAGAAGTCACTGGTATGTGCCCAGTGTAAAGAGCTCCTGGCTTGTCCCAACTTCTGAGTGACAGCTCCTCTGTTGTCATGGAAAATGGGGGTCTTGGGAAAGAAGGGCAACATTCTGGGGAAGAGAGAAATAATCTCCTAGGGATAACCTACTCCTTGGAAGGCAAGCAATAACTGTCTTGAACTGAAGATGTGCCTCCAGGAGGCTTGCGGCAGTGGGAGATTCAATAATTAAACAAGTAGACTGTTCTGTTTCAGAGGAGTGTGGAGACTGCATGGTAAATTGCCTGCCTGGTGCAAAGTTTCCAGGTATCATGATCTAGAGAATCTTGCAGTTAGTGCTGGACCGCAGTCAGTGCTTATGGTCTGCATAGATACCAATGATGTGCAGAAATGTAACTGTACGATCCTGGAAGCCAAGTTTAGGTGGATAAACAGAATGCTGAAATTGAGGACCACTAAGGCGATCCTCTGAAATGCCAGCTGTTCCACACACAGGCCCAGCCAAGTGGCCAAGGCTGAGGAGTCTCAATGCATGGATGAGACGGCGCTGTAGAGAAGAGGGGTTCAGATTTGTTAGGCACTGGGGAGCAATTCAGAGAACGCCGGGCCTGTACAGGAGGAACAGGCACCACTTGAACCAAAATGGAACTAGCCTGCTTGGCACATGGCACAAAAAGGTGGCAGAGCAGCTTTTAAACCGAACCCTAAGGGAAGACCGACAGGATCTGGGAAGCATATGGTTAGGGTTAAATCATCCCTATGGGATGAAGAAGAAAAAGTTTCTGATTCCCCAAATGTAGGAGAGGTGCCAGTGTCATTAAGGCAGAATAGAGTCAGCAGGAGCATAAGCACATTGTTGGATGCTACCCATCAAGACTGACATGCCAGCACATTTTCTAGTACCTATCAGTCTTACACAGAAAGTAATAAACATTTTAGCACAATTTTAATGACCTGTTGGAACCATAGCTTGAACTCCACAGGAAGAAAATGTGGCTATGACAGAGGGATAGGGCTAAATGCACACCTCTTACTGCTCTGCCATTCCAATTTTCCCATTGCAAAACTGCTTATTTCTTTCATTCATCCATTAATCCAAGGTGTTGGGACTTTATGACTTGTCTTGGCAAATTACTTGCAGTTAGTTCCTCAGTGCAAAAGATAACCAAGATAATAATCTGAACATGATTTGAATATATATAAAATATTGCCTTAAATGTTCATGTATATTTGTTCAAGTGCTGATTTGAGTGTAGACAAGAATGAAATCAGCATCTTTGTCACAGTATGCAGCTGTAAAGTACATCATCCATTTGTTTTTAATCAAATGCTCCAAAATACTAACAGTGAATTGTATGCAAACTTTTCATTCTTCCATCAATGGAAACAGCTTCTGTTGCTCCAATAGGAGGAGCTCTTCCACGCACTGCAGGACACCCTCCTCCCAGTGTCAAAAGAAGCTCTTTATGGCTGCCCAGAGAGAACCATTGTTTGCAAACACACACACAAATGCATGCACGTGCATGCACACGCACACCTCTAGGTTGGCCAAACTGAAAGACTTACCACTGCTGCCACAATCAGCACATGAGAGAAGTTCTTCTGGCTTTTTCTCACGGTTTGATTCTTTTGTCCCCAAGCAGAAGCTGCATATTGGAATGGGATCAGCTCGTGGCTAGGAAAAGAAATAGTCAAATCAAATGTTACTTCTATTTCACATAGAATCATGTTTCCTGCCTTCTTTACCTCAAAGTTATATTCTATTTCATTTTACTACAGAATGTTGGAATCTTCATCTGCAATACATCTTACTAGCAGGTACTAAAATTTCTATAATGCATGCTTTATGTTTTACTAATATATTAATGCCAATTTAGCTTATTCAACATTTTTGAAACAGCATTTATCATGAAGTAAAATGTAAATGGGTTTTTGTCCACATGCAATTCTTATGTTAAAAAACTTCTGGGTACTATAAGTTCAGCCGTGAGAGCTGAAGTCCACCTTTTAGACAGTCAAGGCTGGTTATCACATCACCTTTCAAAAATGTAAGGCAAGTCCCACCTGTGGCTGAGCAGCATGAAACCCAGGGCCCCCCCCCCCCCACCCACCTCACTGAAAACAGATAAATTAAGAAGAAAACTCCAGAGATCATAGGTTGCTCTGGAAAAAGTATCTCAGCTTCTCAACTTACATACATGCTATGTATAACCACATGGATTCATAATAGGATAACTCTATTCTTAACACTGGAGTGTACATAACAGCACTACTCAGATTGCAATTCTACACACACACATATCAGGGAGTAAGTTCTACAACATTCAAATAGACTTACTTCAGAGGAGATTTGTATAGAATTGCACTGTCAAACAGATCTTTAAAACCCTTACAATGTAACCAAAAACCTTTACTTATTCATTTTAATTTAAACTGCAAGAGAAAGTCAGACTTTGTATCAAATAAAGAAAAGAGCCATGGTTTTTTCAGTCATCAGTACAACCTTTCCCATTTAAGAATGTGTTGCAACATTAATTTTCACATACTGACTGGGTTTGCGTGTCGTTTGACCCTTCTCCCCGCCACCTGCCAGGGGGTGGTTTCTAAACCAAGTGACACTCTAAGCAAGCCATGGTCAGGCCTAAAGGCTAGAGAGGCCTTTGGCCTGAGAAGGATAGGGGCAGGGGGATCTCTGCTCTGCACAAGCACTTTTACAGCCAGCAAAGTGTGCAATCTTCAGGCAAGCACTCCCCCCAGACCCACCCCCCCCCCCACCTGAGCATCAGCAGGAGAACAGGGAGGGCCCAGGGTTGCCAAGCCCTGCCCGCTCGAATTCCACTTGCGGTCTGGGAGAGCACTGCACACCTGAGAAACCAGCTGCTTGGTTTCACTCCCTGGGAAGGGAGCCTGATGGGGCTGCCATGCGTGGGAATAAGCCACTCTGCTTGCCTTCCCGAAAGGGCCAGCAGCTTGTATCCCCACTCACCCAGGGGAAAACTGCCTTCTCTTGCTCATGCCAGCCAGCTCAGAGACACTGGACTGGGTGCAGAAGAGGAGGTGCTGCCCTCCCATCTCTCTTTGCCTGCCCTGCACACCTTCTATTTCACAAGGAGGAACGTGGTCAAGTGGTGACGTCACTGGTGCCTACCCTGCATCACCTTCCCGTTTCCATTTGGAACTTGGGAAGGGGCATACGGAGTCAAAGAAACAATAACTGCAATTCACACTTTAAAAATGAAATGAACAACCAACAGTAGAACACTTAATAAAGTTATAGACTTTTAAATAATTATGCATGGATTTTTAAAAATGTGAAATGTTTTGGCATAAAACACTAGCCTCAGCCACAATTAAGAGACAGCACAATACTCTTCATAAACAGAGCCAGAAGCAATTTGGCAAGCCTTAGTGGCAAGAACAAAAATTAACAATCAGCACATGTATTCCACAGGCAGTCAAGCCACTTAAATAAACATCATGGCTTATTTAATCTCACCCTTCACACTGCTATCTGGTTTCCACTGATCAATAAACATTTGCCTCCTTAATCTTTCTCCTTTGTGGACCTTTCCATTTTGGACATGAAATTAAAAATCTGAAATGAGCAGTTTTAAACAAGACTGTATAGAAAACCTGTGAAAGGGGATATATAATCAAACTACAATTCTGCACACTCTGTGCTAATGAAAAGGCAGGTGGAAAAGGCCATGATTCAGAAAGGTGCTGCAGTCTCAACAAGTATTCTGAGGAATCAAAACAAAAGGCAATTACACTGGCAGAGGCTAACAGTGATAGGTTACCAGTACCAGCGATTCAGGCATGTGATATACATCAAAGGAATGCCTGTCCAGAAAATTCCATTTGCGACCAAGAGATTTGCATGGGTAGCCCAAAAGGTCTCTGAATGATGTAACATCAAGGCCAACACTATCTGTACTGCCCTGGTAATATTGAAACAAGAGCCAATCATACAACACCACAACCTGTCACGACAGTGACATGTTCAGCATCTCCTTGCATCTGAGATCCTGGTGGACAAAATTAGGAAACCATGGATCAGTTACAATAGACTTGCTTTGCATTTCGAAGGTGTCGCATTCATTCTCTAGCATCTGAAACGACTTTACCATTACTTCACAATATTAGAGCAGTTAACTGACCAGTGTCCTGCATTCAAAGTACCTCTCCCTGCCTTAGCATAAGTAACAGGAAGCTGGTGAGAGGTCCTGCCCATAGGGTCCAGCCGTTATCATGCTCTTTGATTTCTGGTTGCAGCACAGGCCAAAGACAACCCCTGTTCAGCTGGCCAAACTTACTGAGCAGGCTAACACAGTGCAAGAATCACAGAGGGGTCCAGGACAGACGGGCTCTGTCTATTTAGCACCAGTCCCTAAGGACTGTACTCTTATCATTAAACAAATACCTCCTCTGCAATTCTGGATTTGGTTCCAAAAATGAAGAGGGGAAATTATATAATAAAGTACACAATGAAATTATATACTTAAAGAGCGAGATTTAATTTAAAGGTTAAGAGGAAAACCCTGTCAAAAACCTGTGAAATGAAATAAAGACTAAGTTGGAATAAACGAAAGAGCAGAAGAAAGCCTTGCTGGGTTAGACTAACTACTGCTGCCACCGCAAGCATAGAGCCAGTAGAACTAGGAGCCACTGATAGCCTTCTCCTCCAGGAATTTGTCCAGCTGCATTTGAAAGCTGCCCAATTCAGTGGCCATCACTGCATCCCCTGGAAATGAATTCCATAGTGTAATTATGCACTGTGTGAAGAAGCACTTCCTTCTCTCCGTCCTAAATCTGCCACCAATCAGCTTCATGGGATGTCCCCTTGCACTAGACATGCATATTCCTGTATACCTCCCGTGCCTTGCCCTTGACTCACATTTTTTCCTATGCTAAGCAATCTCAATCGCTGTAACCCTTCCTCATAGGGGGTTTTCTTTAACCACTTGATCATTTCAGTGGTCCTTTTTCCAAGTCCACAATACCCTTTTTAACATGTGGTGACCAAAACTGTACACAGCACTCTAAGTGTGGTCACACGTAGGAACAGGCCACATACTCATTTAACTAGTTA